TAAATTACTTTGGATGTCGGTTTTTTTAGTACTCTGTACTGCGATTATAGTTGCCAAGCTTAGCAATTTACAAAAACATATTTTACACAATAACAAAAGAGACATTTCTTGTGATAAAATTAAATTATAATACTGGTCACATTTTAGTGTCACCGCCTCGTATATTTTTATATGGGTATTTTTTTTATGAAATTCTTGTCTTTTTATAGCGTTCCCATCTCTCTAAGCACGTTTAATATTATTCTCATGATACACATAACATGAAAAATAACGACAAACTTTAGTCCCATAATCTCCGTAATGTTACATCTGCCTCGTTGGAATATAAGAATGAAGCTAGCTAACTAAGGGGGTAACGTTGCCTGCCTCCTGGACAAGGTGCCCGAGGGCACGGAATTCGATTAATTTTTTTCCCTTTAAATAGAAGACTATCTTTATTTTCGGCCATCTGAAACTTATTTAGCATAATGTTATTTCCTTTTTCTCAAACATGCTCAGAAATGTTTGCATTACTTTCAAAAAACGAACACGGACAGTTTGTCGTTTCTGAACCGAGTGACTTCTTCTCGACCAAGGCCTGCAAAGTAAATATGAAAATCCATTACTATCCGCTACTCTAAACTTTTAAATCTATCTACTAACAATGAACTACGTGAACAGACAAAAGAAAAATTAGTACAGCAATTGCGAGAATTAATTTTTTTCACCTCACTAGCTCGGAAAGGCTTCTTTCTCATTAGAAATCTTCGCGCAAAAGCGTTTTTTGCACGCTAACCAGGAAAAGGTTTTTGAAATTCGAACTTGACGATGGACTGTGGTGTAATGCACCAAACTTTTCCTTTCGATGAAAAAAAAAGATTCACACGTTCAACTACGTGATTTGTCGTACATTACGTATTTATATAATACAAATCCGTTGGTATATTTTATTCTTATTACGATTGACATTAAATTGACAATCTTAACTAATTGTGTTTATAAAATTATTTTAATTCGTGAAAGAACTAAAATAATTTCAATAACCAATTAATCACACAAAACAAAAAAACAAGCAAGAATAAAAATTGATGAGGTGTAAATTCAGAACGCACCCGAAGAGTAACTTTTTCTTTTCATTAAAAAAGGTTGTATAGTTCAACTATTTTTCTTTCATCTACCATTTCCCTCGCTGTAGTTAGGTGAAAAGTTGTGTGGTTCGCTCGGCAGCAAAGTTGTTTTGCGTCTCGAGCCTTGAAACCCTCGCTACGCTCAGGAATTTGTATGTGAACCACTCGCTTCACTCGTGGTTCAATCTTCACCTCCTTCGCTTGCTCAGGCTTCAATACCAGCACTCGCGGCAAACAACTTTGCAGCCTTGCATAACAAATAACTATTTAAGGGGTGAAATAAAGTGCTTTAGTGCTTTGGTATTCTATTCTGTTTTTTCGTCTTTTTTATATTTTCCTCGCAAAAATTAGTTTTAGCAAAAAGAGCGATATCGAAAATATAGTAATGGATTATACTTCGGCTAATTTAAAACAAGAGACAATATTAGCCTTATGTCAAATATTAACTATTAAAATAATTTTTATTTTTTTACTTTTCTATTATACATCTTGCTCTCTTTAGTCTTTTGTTATTTCCTCACATTGTTTGAGGAAAGCACTATATATACCTCGGCGAGAACGGGGATTGCTTGACTAGTGTTAGTAAACCATACTCGTCCAGCAATCCCTTACTTCCCGGCCTTTTCATTAATGTCATGTATTTTTTTGTTTAATGATCACGAATATATTTACGGTAATTTACATATGTATATACAGATATAATAATAATAATAACAATAATGTGCCAAACAACCGCACCAATTGTCTGGTCTCAAACTAGGGAATTCCCTGTAATTTGGGTACCAGAACTACAGAATCGACCCTGTATAAGGACAGACTGCTCTTATTTCATCATCAGCCCATATCATCATCATCATCATTGACTCATGATACGTTCCACTGCTGGGCACGGATCTAAAGAAAGGATTTACGTTGGCCCAATACCAATTAGGGACTTCACATGGGTAACCTATCACAAACTCGAATTTATTTTTCCGAAATAATGTTCGTTCGAATTTTCATTACACCGAAAACCGAATTATAACGAAACCGTTGTTCTTTCAGGATATGGTGGATGTTTATCGCAAAGACACGATTAGGTTCGGTTAGATTAGATTAAGTCAGGTGTAAAAGAAAAAATATTTTCTTTCAAAATTACTTTCGAGGTTATGAAAATTCGAGCAAACGTTATTTGTGGAAAATGTCATTTCCGACTACTGATAGGTAGCCCTTAACATGTTTTGAAAAGTCGAGAACTTATTCGACCTGCTGGTTTCCTCACGATGTTTTAATTCACCACTAGCGAGAGGTACTGCTACTAATTGCTACTATCTACTACAGTACCGGCACGCTCAGATGGCCGATTTGACAGATTACAATGTTTAGGTCAAATCTTAATTCATTATCGAAAAAAATATAATCAAATGTATATTTATAACTAGTAAAGAGTAGCTGATTAAAAAGTTTTACTTAAACGAAAATAAAAATGTTCACTTAATGTATCGTCAATTCGAAACTGCTTTGTTTCCCTTCGATACAATTGGCCGACTTTCCCAATCGGTCCGCTTCCCTTTTGCATTGAGCTTTGACGCGAGTTTGCCGGAGGTGGAAGTTGTGCTGGCCAGCAATCCCGTAAGTGACGATCGTATGAAATTCCATTTAAAAAAATTCTAATTTCGAAAAATAAATGCCGAGTTGTATCGTAAAATTATACATACATAAATTTCATAGCACGTCACTATTGACACCAATGTACATCAATTAGCTCCTTCAACGTAGTTATGAATTAATACGAAACTTGATGAGCGGACAAACGTCAAGACGGCCGTCATAGAGTGCCGGTACTATAATTAATAATGAATGCTGCTCAAGTACAAATACATGCCGCCACAGGGATTTGAATCATCGGCATCTCAATTGACAACCTACCGTTCTCACTATGGACAACCACCGCTGTAACATCAACATCAGTCCATACACGTCGGGTCCCAAATCACCTAAACCATCTTTGACAAGCAAGGTTTCATCACGATGCTCTCCTTTACTGTCAAAATGTTAAGTGAGTAAACTTGTGACAATTCGACCTTCTTCATCGTCATCGCTTTTTATCACGCTCTTAACTGGTTCCTGGCCACTTTTAAAAAAATTCTTTTTCCTTCATTATTCATACGTTGGTTCGCGCCATCATCACCTTCATAAAAATCCCTACTAGCACTAAACAGTTACATGCCTAGCCTAGCCTTAGTTAGGGAAAAAGAGAAGGCTATGCTACATTGGCGTCCAAACATGGAATACAGCATGAATCGCAAATGCTTTTGCGAGCCTTCTCTTTTACTCTGACAAAGGTTAGGCTATAAACTTTTCAACAAATGTACTATGCAATATAACATTATTCACACCGCGTCGCCACTCTCCTCGCTACATAATATTATTGATATGTATACCTACGTTGCGTTTTTTATTACGCCTAGAAGGCGTCTTTCCCCCACAATGTTTGCTCTCTTCGACATTTGCAAACACACCCAATTGTTGTTACTGCTTTTGCCAATATTATACTCTCTCTATGGAAATTACATCACGCACCTTCCTACAATATTTGACATAGGGCGCTATGTGTAATAGTGATCGTAAGGTACTCACGAAAGCGGGATCCATAGCTTGGCATTCCGAAACGTAAAACTTCGCCATACAAACGGCAAAAATTTGGAACAACATACCGCGCGCCACCAGCGCGTTCTTCATTTTCCTTTTATACTTTTAAAAGCAAACTCAAAGAGAATACGTTAATACTCCAAAATCCACAGACAGCGTGAACTGGAAAATGCAGTATGCATATGTCATGTTATATTTCTAAATTAATTATGCTATGTATTTATTGAACTTGCGTCCACATTTTTTACTTTTATTTGTTTAGCTTTTTGAAGCGATCATTTCGAAAAGGGGCAGCGGTGTGGCTCCGCCGCAGTATTTGCTGAGTTTGGTTCTTTTCTGTCCAATACACTTTTAGTCTTAATCATAATATTGCACTCGTACACATGTATTGTGCTGAATAAATAATTATTTCTTGCTATCTAAAAATTCTCATACAACAGTCAGTCATAAACATTACTAGAACTCTCAGGTTTTCGCAATTGGCAAGTAGCTGCTTTTTCTAGTTTAAGTCGCGTATATTTCGAGTTCTTAGGTTTTCGCGATTGTTACACATAGGAAATGAAACTATTTTTCCGGATTTAAATGTGTGAAATGTGTGAAATGTCAGTCAACCGTGACCATGGGACCTGTAAAGGGCCCGAAACGTCGGTTTGTTTGAAAAAACAAATATACGCGATTTAAATCCGGAAAAATAGTTTCATTTCCTATCGCGTATATTTGTTTTTTCAAATAAAACGTTTCGGGCCCTTTACACACGCTAAGGTAGCGGTTGATGAAACGGTGGTTTATTTAAAAAAATCTAATCTGGATCTAAGGGTGCTTTCAAATTAAACGCTTGAACAAGGCCAGCAGTGACGCGACTGCGGCGCGACAGCCGCGTTTCAGTAATTTTTAGTTCACTATAAAAAAAGTGCCGAACGCGTGTCGCTGCAACTGGGCTTCTAAATATTGTATGATGAAAATTTGTAGTGGTCCCACTGCAGCCGAGATCCGAAAAAAATAGTTTCACTTCCGACATTACAACTATTACAATACGTAATAAAATGGGCTACGTTTTCACAAGCAAATAAAGAAAACGTTCCAATTTAAATAATAACATCTCCTTACTCGAAATAATACCATAAAATGAGGCAATAATGTATATTTTTTGTACAAAACAATTATAGAAAAACACTCAAGATTAAGTTACACACAGATAAAATGACTCTTTTACACTATATTCCTAGATATAAATAATTTACATACAAGAGATAGATCTATTACATAATTTTTAAACGTGGTTCAATAATTCAAGAGTTCATCGGAAAGATCAAATGATGTAAACCTGTCAGTCTTTTTTTGTATGAGAATTAAAGCTTAAGTGGTTCTGCCCCGGAGTGCGACGCAGATAGTTTTGAAATATTTTTGTGCCATAAACACTGACTTACCAACAAAACAAATAGAATAGAATAGAATAGTACGAATTGCATACAACTAGAGACACAGAAATTAGTATTAGTTAATTCTATAAATTAACACAATCTAACCCTCTGGCCCACACTCAATTTCAATTACATGTCTATGCTTCTTACGGATACCATCAAACTCGTTCTGAATGTCTTCAAGCGTCCTATTTTTAGTCTCTGGTACAAAAAAGTAGACGAACAAAGTCCCAACTATACAAGTCACGGCAAAATGCCACAGCGTCCAACCAGGACTGACTTTTTCAACCAAATTCTGATACAATTTAGTTGCTCCAAAAGCTAAAAACCAATGGAAACCAGCTGTAATAGCCGTAGCTCGTCGAGTAACTTCTGATGGGAAAATCTCCCTTAACATCAACCAGGGAATCGGTCCTATACCAGATGCGTACAAAGAAACGTACAAACATAGTGTTAATAACGGTACCCAAGTGCTATTACTCGATAAAGAATTTGACGCTTTCAAATGGTAGTAAATCGCCAAACTTCCTAAACTGAATGCCATGATTGTTAACGACGAAATAAGTAACACTCGCCTTCGGATCCTTTTAAGTAAAACTGTAGAGAAGTATGTTGACGATACAAATGAAAATCCAAGTATAATGGCCGCACTAGGTGGGTTTAAAGAAATTTCGAATGTTTTGAAAATAGTTTCCGTGTAGAAAAGGATAGGGTATATCCCACTTAGTTGTTGAAAGACCATGAGTCCGAAAGATACAACTAGAGCTTTGATAGTTGCTCTTGTACTGAAGAGTTCTTTGAAGGTGACTTTGCGTTTTAAAGAGCTCCTGATTCGTTCTTTGAGAGACTTCATTTCTCCGTCAATATCATTGTCAATGCCCCTAAAGTACCGTAGAGATGCTTTCGCTTCTACAGATTTTCCTTGCGACAAGAGATAAGCTGGAGACTCAGGAAGAAAGATGAAAGCAATGAAGAAGGCGACTGGAATACTCGTACAAAGGACACAGTGCCATGAGGTACTATACACCATGCCTGCAAAATAAAAAAAAAGTAATTAAGTTGGTATAAACAATCTGTCAATTTTTAAATACAAATAAATTCGCTGAAAACTCACCAATGATATAGCCGAAGAGCACGCCACATGCGAAATGCACGTGGTAAAAACTGGTAAGATTTGGCAGAAGCTCCTTCTCAGCGATGTCCTCGATGTAAGGCGGAATGCTCACGCTAAATGCCCCCACTGCCACACCACCCACGAAGCGCCCGACGTACAGACCATACACGTTGGGACTGAAAAGCACAAAATGCTCACGGTGTTTTGCGTGTTTGTCATAAAAAACTAAGTTACCGAGATCCAAATTAAATTAAAATTGAAATAGGCGTGAATAAACCATTTTCACTTGGTATAAGGTACAAAATAAATTACCTGGAAGCGACAAGTATCCAAGAGACGAGCAAAGGCAGCGCCAAGTATAAGAGTGTCTTCTTGCGGCCGAAATACTCGGAAATGAGCCCGGCAGGCACCGAACCAAACACCGCACCTAGACACAGGATAGATGCCACCCAGGACGCTTCTGCTTGTGTCAACTGAAAGAATTTACTTCGATGAATACGAATGCAAATTCAGGTAAGTGACAAATACTAAACATCGGGAGCATTACATCACTGCATTGAAGCTTAAATGTTTTGATCGTTTCGAATTTTAATTTTTAGTGAGGCCAATGTAATGGAAAAAGAAGAATGGAATAGGAAGATTATCACTTTCTTATCATTAAAAAGATCCGTGAAGTTAAACTGACACGTAAAAGCTTCAAAAGATTTTTTTCAGAAGTTTTAATTAGCGAGTAAAGTTTAACAAGATTAATGTCGAATTGTCAATTGTGAAATTTAATAAAAAATCTCGGCAAATCGAGCACGGTCGCCGTCTTTAATTTAAATCACATAGATTCTGATTTACTAGAAAGGATAATGCGTTAATGACCTTGCTTGTACGGCTGCTATTTTTAACCGTTTTATTGCTTAGGTCAGAGTGACCAAGCATCTTTTGATGAGCGCGTACCGCCCTCTTCCAGATTTCACTCCTCAAACCAAATTACAAACGAGTGGTACAAGTTCAAAGCCCAAATAAGTTTGCTCGTGTTTAAACAATATGTACGATTTCGTTATTTTCATTTTCATTTTCAGTCATTCATTTTAACTAACATAGTATAATCTCAAATTGGCCTTAATTTATATTAATATTACCTATTTAGTTTCAAAGCGACAGTATTGTCCTATCACTTTGAAATAAATCGTATATGAAAGACATATCAATGCAGCGAAAATTTGGAGATAAATTATTAATATAACGCAATTTTGAGATAAAGTATAATTTAACGCCACTTTTGAGATATACTATGTTAGTTGTCAAGTGCGATTTGTAGTTCACATGTTTTCCTCTCTACTTAGGTGAAGGAAGGTTTTGAGCACATTTATCCATTAATACAATGTAGTTTTCAGCACCACGGGCATGCCAATCTCCCGTGCTATGCCTCATCCCCGCGCCAGAGTCATTGCTAGAGTTAATGCTTGTTTAAATTGCTGCTTGTGCAATATTCGTTGCAAGCATTATATAAACTAAGCCCGTGACAACCATGTCGGTGACAATATTTTATAAGAGAAGACGTAGGGTACATAAATTAGGTAGGTATATAAATGGAACGATTAAGAAAAATAATAAAAATCAACATATGGCATATTTTTGTTAAAAAAAAAGTGGAATAGGAAGTAGTGGGGACTCGGAGTTGGAAGACCGGGGGGCAGTGAGGTGGTTGGCGAAGCACCGGTGCTGGCGCAGCAATAGGTAGGTATAGCATCAAATTGTAACCGGAGGTCCAACTGGCCACTTTGGATTCAATCGACAAGCGTACCAAGAGGCTTATAGGTGGCACGAGTTTAGTAGAGGCGAAGCTGCATAGCTTTGAACACTATAGTAAAGTGAATAATAATAATAATAACGCACACACTCAACATAGCCCCGCACTAGAGAAACCCTGTGTCGCATATATAGACAACCACAAATTACACCCAAACTCACGAGAAAAATAAATGTAGGCCATACAAATATTTCTCCCGGCCCAGGAATCGAACCTGAGACGTCTTCGTGGCAGTCCGATATGGCGAGCGATTCGTTCTGTGTACCGTCTAGGCTCTCGGATTTCTCTCAGAGAAAAGTTTAAGGGGACTGGTATCATGACTGTGGCATCACAGTACATTTACTCAAATATTTTATATGCCCGTAAAAATATACATAATTTCATTAAGAAAGAAAATATCCGTAATATTAACCTTAGAGCTAAGTCCAATCTCATGATACCACGATTTCGTTTAACCAAGATAAACGACTATTTTTTGGGAAACCGTATACGTTTTTACAATAAGATTCCGGAGCATATATTAAGTTTATCGTTTCCTAAGTTTAAAAACTACATTAAAAATATTTTGATCGAAAAGTCATATTACAAAATCGAAGACTACGTGTTAGATAAAGATGTATGGAAAGACGACATGGCTCCAGAATCCACACAAATTTGATTTAAAGTGTTATAGTATAACATTTCAGTTTATTTGAAAACAGCAATCCCTTGAGTATCTCGCTCGTTCTTCTCAGGGAAGTCAGCGTAGTGAACGAGCACGAACGAGCTTAATGTAATGTAATGTAAATGTGACGTTTTCAAGTGTAAATTCATTTTACCTATGGAATAAAATGATCTTTGACCTTGACTTAGAACGATAACAAGTTTGTGGTTGTTATCATACCACAAATTTCTAAAATTGTTGACATTTTCCGCGTGGTACGATCGTGTGAATTCCAGTACAATTCAAGAACAATTAACTGCCAATGCAAATGGCGTGTCTCCGTGCCAGCCCCGGCGTGCGCGTAACACTGGAGCCGAACACTACATCAATGTAAATCAGCCGTAAACTGCAAACACATTGAGTGAATCCGACTTCAATGTATGTATAGTGAGCTCAGGCCATTTGCGAAATAAAGTTTCTTCGCTGATAAAATTGTATGCTTATATGTGTGTCTATGAAAACAGCCTTTGCGTATACATATATGATAGTAATAATTTCAAAACGGAAACCTCAAAACTTGTTACCTACGAAAGTACACCACGTAATAACTTTCAGAGCGATAACTCAAAGACAACAAGTGGAGAAACGAGGAACCCACAGGAAAGTTTTATTGCAATAACCTAAAATAAAGGTCTGACAGGATGTTACGCAAACTTTACTTAAGGTCTTCGCGCCAGATTTCTCGCCTCGTCACCGATTTTATAGGAAATTCGGTCTCATTTGAAAAATGTGCATAAAATATTACGTAAAAAGTAAAAGAATGCGCGGTCAAACAAAAATATACCCGGTTACGCAGAACGATCAAGTTCGCCACTGTGTTGCCAGGGCCCTTGAGTCAAAATTGAGTCGAAAATTACATATCGAGTTCTTAGGTTTTCCTGACTGTTACACATAGGAAATGAAACTATTTTTTCGGATTTAAATCGCGTATGTTTGCCAACCATACGTGACAACCAACACACAACACACAACAGTAACAAATATACTAGAATTAAAAAAATCACAACGTCCTCAAAAGCTATGAAAATTGTCTTAAAAGTTAACTAAACATTACACGAGAAGGTCAAAAGAAACGAAAAAGGCCAAAAGTTAGGAAATGCAACCATCTGGCAACACGCTATCAATAACCTCTACCATAACTGCAAATGTTCACAAGAAAAACCACGATAATACAATACTATCTCTAGGAAGAGCTCCAGCTGTCTACCAATAACAATGTGACAACGAAAGCGCACGTGTGAATCAGTACAAACATCTGTAGAGTTACTGCTGATTGCCACTGCGTACGTGATCGTAGACGCCAGTGCGGCGAAGATGAAATCAGGGCTTCGGGTAGCCAAGTTAGCAGTTCAAAATTCGCAACATGAACGCTGGCCCCTGATCGCTAACTACGCAAGGCCGGGTCACGCCAATCTTATTTATCTCTAACAATGTAACTTTTGCCAAATTGTCTTGGAAGTTGGAAATTATTGAAACACGTTTGATTCCGTCGATTAGCTGAGGGAAAGGCAGTCCGTTATGTCAGAACCCACACTGGGTGAGATTAGGGTTCCGGGACTGAAGCACACTTGAAAGTAGAGGGGGGAAATAGATACTGCCAACGATAATAACAACGCAGACAGGCATAGCCCCGCACTAGGGAAACCCTGTATCGCGGATGCCATGAATACACACATGGACAACCACAAATTACACCCAAACACACGAATGAAATAAATGTAGGCCATAGAAATATTTCTCTCGGCCCATAAATCGATCCCGGGACCTCTGCATGGCAGACCAACATGTTAACCGTTCGGCCACAGAGGCAGTTATTGGATGACTATGGATGAAAAACGTTTTCAAATCAAATCAAGAATGTTATTTTAAAAAAGCTGTAGCGCGTAGTGAATTTTTTATAAAAAAAAACCGACCTGTAATTTTTATGGAATTACATCTATTTGCCAAGTTTTATTGGAATCGATTACAGTAAAGTGCGCGAAATCGGATTCATCCCCTAGCTTGCCACCCTTCGAGGTAGAATAATTATGATCTTTATATTTAGATGGGACCAATATTGAGGTACCCTGTTTCCAACAAAAAAGAATCATCGAAACCGATTCGTGTAACATACATACAAAAAAAACAGTCGAATTTCAGAACCTCCTCTTTTTTTAGTCGGTTAAAAATGGCTTACAAGAAAAGATTGACGAATGTATAATTGACACAAAAAAGGTATGTCAGAATCGGCTTCTTTTTATTGTATCGATCGATGGCGTACACTGTAATGCTTGCCATCCTGCTAAAAGGGTTTGCCAGTTGGCGTAATGTACTCACCGATTGTTGCCCAAAGTGGGCAGACGTACAAGAAAGGAATTGTACGCCGTGCGGAGAGGTTGCTTTTGTGCACCCCAGGTCGTGTAAAGTGATGATGGATAGTTCCTACCTACCCCGATAAGAATTCAAAAGCACGAGTTTTTTTGTTTTTTTTTTGTCTCAAAAGCTATATAAATAACTGTTTTCATATTACAAATATCATTAGAAATTTCACAGTACATGACTCTGACACAATGGCTTTTTATCTCCTGTTACAGCCATTTGAAATTTTAAGCGGAGGATGACTCCATTCAAATCGTGTAACGCGACGTGAGTAACTTGAGTAACGTGGATCTGCCCATAAATTGCTACAAATGACAATGGCAATAACGAAACGTAATGCCTATCTCATGTAAATCAGACGGAAGATGCGCTTATTCACCTCTCTTAAGTGAAGACAAAGCGGGTTCGCGCTACAGAAATGTTAAAAAAACAAGATTTAAATTTGTATTCAATCGATGTTCAATTATTTTTTGTGAAATTACTCCACTACTTTGTTATAATTATCAATAAAAAGGTCGAACACTTAGAAAAAATCCTCCGATCCGGCCGGAACGAACCAGCGGACCTCACGAATTTTTCTATATGCTTGTTGTTGGATCTTTGTATTTGGTTTTTCAACCATCTATTAGAAATCTATGAAAGTATTTTGTCACCCAGTCAGATAACTTTACAGCTACCAGCCCTGGCTAGAGATGTCGCTATTAACTGTAATTAAATTTGTATTGAATTCATATTCAATTGTTTTTTGTGAAATTACAATATTTAAACAAGATTTATGTATATCATTGATAATAAATAAAAACATGGGCAACAAAGCACTATACAAAATGTACCAATAATATGATTGCCCTTTATTCCGCAGAACTCACATATCGCAAATAATCGCAATATAAAGGCAGAATAGTAAATAAACAAGTTTCCTATATTTCTTACACAATAAATAAATTATTAGGTACAATTATAATAAATGATTATTTTGTATGTTCAGGCCTTTGTTACGAATTCTTAATTGGACCATCTCTACACTGAATGGCTTTTCTTTAACTATAGTACATTATACAGGTTGTAACATAAAGGTGAAAGTGGCCATGCCCAAGAGTAAAATTACATAATAGATATGAAAGCTTACAATGACAACACGGAAAACTAATTTAAATATATTAACGTACAACTGGCGGTCTTGTTACTAACTACCAATTTCTTCCTTAGAATTGAAAACTAGGAAATACAAAAAGGGTGCAACCATCGTATTTTATATTTTTTAAATTCAATATAATATTAATAATATATAATATTATACTTTGGTTGGAAAACATACCGGAAAATGTCCATATTACTGACAAATTGTAATATAAAATATTCTTTTAATTACATTTCACTGTTTGTAGGTTTTTTACTATATGCACTTACCGGAAGTTTGCTGTGTGTTGAATTTATTAATTCTGCGTACTGTAACAAAAAAAAGCATTTTCAGCGAAAATACAGGATGCAACATTAATTGTTATTATGTACATGTATACAGGTTAAACTTCGTTTCAATTTAGAAGCAGCGCAAGCCACACCACGAACGAAGCTAAGCTGACTTAACTTAGCTCACGTAGCTGGGGCATCTTTTCATACTTCGGTTCACATCGCGAACTAAGCTAACTGAAGTAACCCAACCATCCCTCTAGCTATATAAAATATGTCGCCCTTCTGCCGCCTGTCACCCTCACGCGTATCCATAGTCACTATTTGCTACGTTAAGTTAGCTAGCTTCGTTCGCGGTGTAGCCTTATGTCCTATTTCTACCGCCTAGCGGCGACGGATACTGGTGTTGGTGAAACTACATGCACAACAACAACAATTTCGGTCGTATTTCTATTCTACTACAACTGACGGCACAGGGCTTACGCACGACTGACTGAAGTTACCCTATGACCAGTCTGACCATAACCCGATTAGGGTTTTCACCCAATGAACATATATAATAATAATAGCAATAATAACACCTGTGCTACAAGTCACCAGGACCCAAGTCTTGCAAATAAAACATAAATTACTAAGTATACATATAACAACCAAGAATTAGAATAAACATGTAAAAATAAGTTACGGTAACAGAAAACCTTCGAGATAATTTTTCTATGTGAAGGGTATAAGCGCGCGCTACACACGTCGATTATCAATTTCATGACCTGTACTTTTTCACATCCATTAGTGTTGTATGAAAGCGATATGGCCCGCGTACATCAAAGCAGCTTGCATTCGATTAGCTTTCATGCCCATTATGGCAATATTAACTAATTTAGTATATAAATCATTAAAATCATTTTAAAATGATAATATCATTTTCTCCCACAATAAATTACTAAAAACAAATGGATCGGAGCTTAAATATTAATTGTTCAGACACAAACAACAAAGTGCGGGATTGCTATAGGTGTTACGCCAGACGTTCTTCTTTGCAAAATACATTTTTGTATCTATCAACGTATTGCAAAAACGGGTCACCTTCAAACACCTTCGCGCGATAAACACATATTGTAATAATAATGTGTAAAAAAATATTGTGTAATAATCTAGGAGATTCCTATATCTTAGGACTCCCGATCTTTTTTCTTTTTTTTATAACATCAGGTGACGGAACGAATAAGTCGTGCGCCTGGTAGTAAGCTACACCCCTGTCCATAACAGTGAATGTAATTTCACCAGGATGGTCTTCACCTATTGATTGCACAAATTCTGTACTTATGATGTTGTGCGCAAACGCTTCTAACTTTTCTTGTTGACTCAAGTTTCGATATCTACGCCCTGAGACTTGGAATTTTGGTTTTAAACAACAAAGCATATCGGAAGTACAAAGAGCAATTTTTTTAGACATCCAAATTTTAAGTATACACTCCTATAGAGCTCAAAAAACTGAACAAATATGTACTCATAGGTCATTTTCGACATTATTGGCCTTTACGTCAATGCAGTGTTAAGGTATGAACGGATCACAAAAACTATCTTCAGTCTATACAAAAGTATACGGTATTAGGAGCGGGTAGACGTTCGTGAGTACGGTCAACCGCACAGTTCAAAGTAACTACAAAAGAGGTTAACAAAGAAAAGTCAATAGCTGTCACTGAACCGCGAGGCCAGAGCCGGAGGGGCTGGGGGCGAAAAGTTAATGTGCTGTCAATTACGTCAAAAGCACAACTCTCCGGAAACTGTAACTTTTACGTACTGGATTTGCAGGTGCTAGAAATAAGGTTGGCAACATTAACTTCGATTTATTGAAGTTATATTGCAATATATATTTCCTTTGTGATATAAACACGATCAGGACGGATTTATATTTTGATTATGATCTGTCAAAGTTTAAGCGACTGCGAGATCCTTGTTTTTATGTCTTTCTTGATGGTAGTAGTATTCGCTTATTTTTGCCAATATACATGCATCTTACTCTATTTCAGTGCAGGCAAAAAAACAATTTTTGCTCTGGTCACACTTGAGTTTTAAAATTGCACACGTATACACGCTCTTCAACGTGTATGGCTAGCAATAAAATGTTATAATTTTTTTTATTGAGTATTGGCTACAGAGCCATACAGATACAGCCATACAGAGCTGAAAGAAGTAGCAAATAATTAAGAAACTCAAAACGTAATATACTATAAACTAATAATTAATTCGTGTAAATACTGTGGCCACAAAAGCTCGTATTTTTTTTTAATTTCATGTCCTATATTATAGTAAAGATGTCAGTATTGTTGATTTTTTTGTAAAATAGCTCAACGTGAATTGAATATTTTACTACACAACAGCCTTTAGAAACAAATATTTTGTTCCTATCGGGTAAAAATAGTGGACCTCTACCTCCAATATAAAACCGACAGGCATGCTAAATAAATTAATAAATAATATTGTTTTAATTACCAATAAGAATTTACTCTATTAAAATGATTTTACACTCGACACCAAGAGTACATAACAGTAATGTAACGCAACAATTTAGCCAGATTTATTAAGAACAATCACAGTTTAGGTTTTTTGACGTTCGCAACCCTAACTGAACAATTCTAGTGCTCACGAGAGACTTTATATCAACCGAACTTTGGTCCGTGCGCGTCCCGCTCCCGTGCCGTGTGTTCGAAGCAAATAACTTGACAAGGCGAATTGTTGCATTGCACTTTCCGCCAGTTACGTGCCCACCTGCGGCAGACGCTTGTGTGGGGAAAGTTTCATAGTAAACAGCTTTAAGATGTATACACTTGTATTAGCAAATTTCTCGTCGCCGAAAGCATAGAAACAGTATGATACGATCGGGACGACGACATGATCGTTGCTTTCGTCGAAAGTTAGCTTAACTGCCTCTGTGGCCGAACGGTTACCATGCCGGACTGCCACGCAGAGGTCCCAGGTTCGATTCCCGGGCCGGGAGAAATATTTGTATATTTGGCCTACAATTATTTCTCTCGTGAGTTTGGGTGTAATTTGTGGTTGTCTATATGTGTGTCCATGGCACCCGCGACACAGGGTTTCCCGCGGGGCTATGTTGAGTGTGTGCGTTATTACTATAAAAAAAAAAAGTGGTCGATTAATCAAAAAGGACATGATTGCTACGACCAAAAACATTCTCACATTGCCTACAGTCTCTTAATAGACTATTGCTGACACTTTCGTATATTTAACCAACTTCAAAAAAAGGAGGACGTTATACTTTCGGCTGTATGTATATTTGCCGATTTCTACGACAAATGCGGACCCATTTTGTAAATTATTTTTTTGTTTGAAAGGGTGGTAATTCATTTCGGCTATCACAAATTGAAATTCTGCAAACAAAAGTCGACTTTTCACTAAAGACAATACGTGTATAATCAACAAATCACCGTCATCATGACAACCAGAAAAAAGTATAAAATGTACACAGGAGCCCGTAACAGTCCATTGTCACCCATGGAAATCGAAAAAAGCCGTTATGCAATCTTTTAATCTCAGTTCTTTTTTCCAAAGAAAAAATAACAATTATTATTGTTGTAGACAAACATTTTTGATACGTAGGTACTTTACTAAAACATTTACTTCAGAAGTTGAATTAATAAAATGGCCGACGACGCGGTGGGTGCTTAAGATCCATGAGCATTTAAGTAATCTTTGAGTCGAGGAAGATAGCAGATAGGTTTTTGCGGTGCAGACGAGCGTTTTATCCAAATGGAATTCTACATCTTTATGTACATATCGTTTTTAATAGCGAGTCATATACAAATACACTTCACTCCCTTTTTCCTCCGCCGTACGATCCTGAGATTTATCTTCCACTTTATCAACAGCCATCAACGATCGTGTACACGCCCGTCGGTTTAAGGTGCTATATATTGACCAGGGGGCCTACTACAACCTCTTAAAACAATATTACTATAACCTTACATTGACTTTTCGTACCATGACGCGCCTAAAGTGGGCTTATTACAATGTTAAAACTATGATGTTTCATTGGCAGCTTTGTGACTATTCATTCACTCAGTTCGTACTATGACGCGACTTTAACATTAAAGTAATTAGTTCTTATGTCAAAATTAGCAATCTTAAAATAGCTGCTCGGACGCAGTGGAAACAACATTATTTTCGAATTTGTTGTCTTAATATTGATTTGTAATAATTAAAAGTTGAACTTATTTGTTTACATAAATATCTTCAATATTTTGTTTATTTTTTTTACTTAATAGTACATAGGAAATAATTTCTCGTTAAATCAAAATACGCGATGTTTATTCGTGAAATTATGACAGCGACATCTATATGCTCCTTGGCAACATTAACAGTTGACACTAGACTATAGCTCCGAATTCACAACGTGACAATCAAGACTCAGCTTGTTTTTTTTATTTTTCTTCATGAAAATGCGGAATAATAATTGAAAACAACGTAATTTTAATAGATTTCATTATTACAAACTTTTCTTTTTTTGGCAGTTATAATTCTCAGAATGTAAATAATATTAAGTACTTTAACGTACGTCTTTTCCTACGATAAGACGATTCGAAACATCAAAAAAGAAAGAGATGGCATTATATAGTTCACATAGCGTTACCTCTTTCCTATTTTTTAGTAAGGAATAGACAATATTGAGAAATCATTCGTTCTTTCAATCACTTTTGCAATAACACATTACTTGGTTATAGGTGTACTAGAATCTGATAGCACTTAGACAAGTTGAAATTTGTAGTGGGCAACATCAATATAGTAGGGAAAAATGTACTAGATACTTCACATATTTTATTTCACCAAGATTGATCTATCCTCGTACATGTTTTAAGATCTGTTTGAATTTGTGTGTAAGAGAGGTAAATAATTTCTGATACATTTTAAAATTAAACAAAAATATATCAATTAGATTGTGGGTGATAGATTTATTTACGTTCGCAATTTGAAGTATTTTTTTTTCAACCAATCATTGTCTACACACTGTAGTCTCGCAGACCAGTAGGTACCAACAAAAATAACGTACCACATACATTAATTTGGCTTCGTTAAAAATTCAAAGATCAGATTTATTTACTCCTACTAATCGGCAAGACTTGAGACCTGGTTGTAAATCGTGAATTGTGACTTAGATGCACCTAATTCGTCGCTGATTTTGCGATAAACAATATTACAATGTTTTTTGCTTGAGATTGAAGCGGATTTTTAGTAATTATTGCTACAAAAACGTTATTTTAAAATGAAAAAAGTTTAGCAGACATTCATTTGACACAAGTAATATTTTGGATTGACATGTGACAAGTTAACATTGCCAGGTGAAAGTTGTTCGATATTTCTAATATTTAATGCCATGAGATTCTGGTACACCTATAACATGTTCGTCATGGTACGAATATAAGTAATATAATAAAGTTACTTTAAGCTTACATTGAAATAAGATTGAATTTTTGAAAGGTTATGGTAGGCCTCCTGGGATTCCTTTGAGACATCCTCAATTTGATCGTGGTATTGCCCGCTCACACTCGGCTTATAAGTCTGTTTCGTGTTCTTTCAGTTATCCTTCTCAACACAATAAAAATGTACAATAAAAGAACCTTCAAAATAACTATTTGGCTGAAATGTTACGTGACGTGACATGTTTTTGGTTATCGGTCATTTCGTGTACGAACTTGAGGCTTTTTTATATAACAACAAATGCTTATTGGTTTTTCCAACCACCCATCTGCAAGGCCCCTGACGCGAACACGAACAGCGCCACAGGGTTAATTTATAGGAAGCCGCTAATGAAAATATTATTTACTGCCCGCGGCGCTATCATAAATTTTTCAGCCCTCCCACCTGCCGCCGCTGCCTCACAGCACATTTTCGTAGCAGTAGAGCTCCTCGTGAAAGCGTTCGTCCAGGGAAGTACTGCCACCTTGCCTACTTCTGCCGCCAAGCAGTAATCAGCATTACTATATTCCGGTTTTGAAGGGTAAGGGTGCTGGTGAAATTACAGGCACATGGGACTTGCCAACTTATGTTCTCAGAGTGACGGGCGCAGTGGCAGTACCCCTCAGATCTTTGTGATATAAAGCTGTGAATAGTATTGCAACTGTTATGGACAGGCGTGACGCTGACCATCAGGCGCACGACGTGTTCGTCCCGTCACTTAGTTTTTACGAAACAAAAAAGAACGGCACTCTCGTTATACTTAAAAATTTAACACTTAAACGAAGGCCTATTTTTGAACGGTTCAACACCTTTATGATTATTACGTTGCTCTCAGGTTTCACTTACACCTGAGTTAAGTCGTGGGCGTTAAGTATTTGAATCGCTCCTATCTAAAGCTAGATCCGAGCGATTGCACAACTCCATTGTGTTAGCGAATACGATGTTAAGGCTATCTTATATTTAAAATTTCTTACTCGTATGCCGATTGCTTATAAAAAACACCAATAATTTGACGGGACGAACTAGTCTTGCGCCTGGTGGTAAGCGACACGCCCATTCTTAACAGTTGCAGTGTCACTCAGAACTTTAAGTAGCAAAGATTTCAGGGACACTGACTGCTGCGCCCGTTACTCTGGGACGTTACTTATCACGAATGCGGTGATATGTACAAATGTAAATATTAACAGAGCTAAAGGGAAAAATGGTGTCCAATCTACGTAATACCTGTGTTATGAATCACCAAGCGTCGACCCCACAGACATAACAGGAAAATTGTACGTAAATACATTCAAAAGTTAGCAAGCTTTTACGTATTATACAAGTTTAGCAAAAGTTTAGTAAGAATAAAATACGAGTCCGTGTGTTTGTCGCATACATTTTATCATAACTATACTGAAGGGATATCGAGTTCTTAGGTTTTCGCGATTGTTACACATAGGAAATGAAACTATTTTTCCGGATTTAAATCGCGTATATTTGTTTTTTCAAACAAACCGACGTTTCGGGCCCTTTACAGGTCCCATGGTCACGGTTGACTGACCGTGGCGATTTAAATCCGGAAAAATAGTTTCATTTCCTATATACTGAAGGGATTCAAATGTGATATTTGACTCGTATACATTTTAGTTTTTTTTTTTAAATTTATTTAATACTTTTACAAAAACTTAAACATATTACAAGCAGCTGTAGCTTTAGACGTTTCAAAATGAAATTAGTTTTGTCGTATAATAAATAAATCTGTTTAATACTTGGTATATACAAACAACAATTAACATCGACAAGACAATAAGTTGTTATTTGTACGTCGGTGACCATTAGAACACACCCGAGTGTCAATAGCGTACAATAATATTTGACATTGTCAAGGAAAATCAAATGGAACTAATAGGAATAGTTATGACATGTTAAGGTTCAATTGTTCGTGAATGGAAATAAACGTTATTAAACAGCTATGAAACTTACATCATAAGTGATAGAGGCCGTCATCCTCGGCAGAGCTGATGATGACCACGCGACGCACACGCCTGCGGCTAGAGCGCCCAGGTTTACTGTAAAACAAAATAGGGGCATGTCCATAAACTTCGTTATTACAGAAAAATTTTGCGATAGCAATGATATAATATACAGTCGCCTGACCATGTTCCTGGCCAGTCTCAAACTTAGAAAGTAAATACACAGAACATCTAGACTAGAAATCAGTATAGAAAATACCGTTATTTTAGTTCCATATATTGATTACATCGAACTCGATTCCTTTTCACCATAAGCCAAGAATACTAACCGATGAGCCATTAAGGTTGTCAGCTCTACCAATAAAGTACACACATCAAACATCGATCTCTGCCAGGCAACACGAAGCCAGTGTGCCTAGGAAGTTGATAACGTTTCCCTTTGAATGGCAAACCTAATTATTTCATGAAAGTAGCTGCCAGCCTTCTCATCACCGGCAAACTCAAAGCTACTTAGCGAAGGAGTTTTGGTGGCTGAGGTTTACGTATTTCAACCTGGTTCGCCTCTGGCGGTGGAGCCAGCTGCTCTCATGCTTGCGTAGACATACAAGGGGATATCTTTAGAGGGGAGAACGGTTCCAAACGTTACCACAAGTTTCATTGAATGAAAATGTCGACCAAAGGTACCTGGGTAAATGATTAAAACGCCCGGACCAATAGCGATACATTTGCGGCCGAACTTGAATTATTCTGTGGTCTGGGTCAAGTAACCCAACGATATAAATGCGAAAACATCTTTTATATAATAAACAACTGATTATCAATCCAGTAGCAGAAAGGTTATTTACAAACTGTCCGTAGAACTACCCGACTATTTATATTTCGGCCGAAGCCGTGTTGTTAACAAATTTTCAAGAGCATTGTGAAGCTGAACACTGAATTTTGAACCATTCTTATATAGCAAACGGCATAGTCTTAAGTGTCAAAATTGATGTTTACTTAACCCTGTACTGAGGTGCCTGATGTGCCAATTTTCAGAATTTTTGATATTTTTTTTGCTGACTGCCATCAGTCCGGTAAATTTATCCATCAAACATCAAACACGACTTACGTACTCTGATTTGACAAACTTTGATTTTTTTAATATGTTGGTATATAGTTACATAGGTTACATACATTGACTTACAAAGTTACATAGCGTTATTTTTCATAAGCGAAAAATACACGACCCAATCTGCTGAATAATTTTCCAGATAAAATATAAAGACATACAGATTTACTTGTAAACCACTAACAACTTCGACTATATTATTACTAACATCATAAACAACACCGACAAACATGGAACTTTTACTGCCTCCGTAGCCGAACGGATACCATGCCGGACTGCCACGCAGAGGTCCCAGGTTCGATTCCCGGGTCGGGAGAAATAGTTGTATGGCCTACAATTATTTCTCTCGTGAGTTTGGGTGTAATTTGTGGTTGTCTATGTGTGTGTCCATGGCACCCGCGACACAGGGTTTCCCTAGTGCGGGGCTATGTTAAGTGTGTGCGTTATTTATTTATTTATTTTGTTCCGTGACTTCATGGAACAGAAATTCCATGACCTTTGATGATTCATCAGATTTGACTTTCGTATAAAAATAAAAATATTTTAAATAGATCACTGTAAACGGTGCTCACTCTACGCGGTAACAAAGGAAACCGTTAATGTAAATGCCAGTCCGATTCAAAATGCAGGAGCGGGGGTGGGGGTCGACGAAGAGGACGCTTGCACATTTGAACTTGTTATCTTACTACCAAACGCAGATCTAAAAAAATTCAGATTTGCACAATAAATAACAATAGTTTATTCTTCATAAATGATCAGGTTATCGGGCGCACACACACACATAGACAACCACAAATTACACCCAAACTCACGAACGAGATAATGTAGGTCATACAATTATTTCTCCCGGCCCGAGAATCGAACCCAGGACCGTTGTTAACCATTCGGCCACTGAGGCAGCTATGTACAAGTATTTTGAAACCAATGTAAAAAATATCGGTAATTGATTAAAAAAATATATATATTATTTATAATACTATGTCACCCCTATTTTTTGAGATTTTGCAAACATTTCTGGTTCGAGAAGCAATTCAAGTTTAGAACCGGAAATTAATACTATCTAGTATTAACTCATCTGAGTTAAATAGTCAATTAATGTAAAATGAAATGTAACTCCACTTAACATCAGGTGGAGTGGAGTCATTTGCCTGTCATGTATAAAAAAAAAAAAAAATCTTGCAAGTCTTTTTTTCTTTTCATCTACCATTACCTACTATTTAGCAGGAAGTAAGTCAGGAAATAAGAATATCTAGTAGAAATTATTAATAGGTATTAAAAAGTTAAATATTGTATTCATAAATGTGTATTTTGTAAACTTTCCAATAATTGGCCAGGTAAGTATTACTTCTACATAACCCAATTACCTACATACTTATATTTCTAATTACGTGAGCCGAACGTGGGTAAAGCTAGCAGTGAGCTTTAAAAATGAGCATCGGCAAAAAATGTTCTTTTCCTATGCTATCATCGTAAACCAAGCATCGTTTTGTCATTTGGCCAGAGTGTAGATATAACGTGAAGGTATGTTCTGTTTAGTTCTTAAATTCACGAAAAATGTTTTGGAAAGTAAATAATAATAATAAATAAACACAAGACAACATCCCATGCGATCCTCTGATCCCAAAGTAAGTAACTAAAGCACTATTAACAAAATTAACTTATCCAATTTTCAATTATTTAGCTAAAGGGAAGTATGGTCGCCCTGTTAACTATACTTTTAATTACTAGCATTGTGTGTGTACCTATTCCAGTAGCAATGTATTGCGTAGTTATTCCTGAAGTATCCCTCTTGATATCCGGAACAGTCTCGAGTCTCTTCAATATCTTCGCATTGCCATTAATGTCCTCATTTTTGGTCTCGACAAAGTCTGTTTCAGTTTTCTTTATGTCGTTTTTGGTTAAATCCGTGTCTGTTATATTCAAATCTGCATCTGTTTTTGTCGTATCTGTTTCTGTTTTTAAATCGATTTCTGTATAATGTACGTCCTCGTTGTCCGGTACGTCCAGGACTGTTTCGCGTATGTTCACGCCCACTGAAAAAAATAAACATTATACGTCAGGTTGATTTGTTTTTTGGTGCTCCATAGATAGGTGACCTGCTTGTCAGTTTTATATCGGTTACATTTCGGAGTGTGTACGCAAGAACTTTTCAATTTAGTTCCACATTCACTGTTAACCCTTCGGTCGACTAGAAGGTCCGGAACACTCCATCTTTATGTCATTGATATACCGCCCGTTCGCACGATGCGTTTTATCTCTTCCTTCTACATACGATTTAGGGCTATTCAAGGCTAAAATGGACATGCATCTTTTTAGACAAATGCCATTGTTTTATGCACCAATGAAACCTATAATAATGTAGTGTTTTTATAGAGATTTTTTTGCGAAATAATTCTACTAATTTTGTTATGATTTTGAATACAAACCCACGGGACCCGGTGGGACTTGAACCCACGTCCATGCTGCACCGCAGCATTGCTCTTACCAACTGAGCTACAAAAATTTTTTGTGTGTTCGATCTATGTATTCATAATAATAACAATGTACACAGTTGTCAAAATGGCATTTTCAGTAAGGACTGAAGTAACAAAAGGGGATCTTACCATTCTTTTTGTTACGCGGTCTGTTTGAAATAATAATAATAATAATAATTCTAAAATAGACATTAATCATAACGCACACGCTCAACATAGCCCCGCACTAGGGAAACCCTGTGTCACGGATGCCATGAACACACACATAGACAATCACAAATTACACCCAAACTCACGAGAGAAATAAATGTAGGCCATACTAATATTTCTCCCGGTCCGGGAATCGAACCTGGGACCTCTGCGTGGCAGTCCGGCATGGTAACGGATCGGCCACAGAGGCAGTTATAGTTAAATAAAAATTTTAAAACAAATCAGTACAGAGTACTAAAAAAACCGACCTCAAAAGTACGTGGAATTACGTCTATTTGCTAAGTTTTATTGAAATATCCCCTAGTTCGCCACTATACGGGACTTGACACAGAAGATAATAATCGGTTCTCACTACTCAAAATGTATTGAAAGAAAAACGCCTTGAATTGGAGAAATAGCAAAATCAACCATTAGAATAATTGCTCCTAAATTAAAGTTAGGTGCTATTTATAAAAATGAATCTTCATGCGTAAACAGCCACCCTTAAAGGTGGATGATTTCCTTCAAAATGAAATGGGACCACTATGGAAGTACCCCCTTTCCAACAAAAAAAGAATCATGAAATTCGGTTCACAAATACCGGAGTTATCGCGTAACATACATACAACAAAAAAAGAACATACACTCGAATTGAAAACCTCCTCCTTTTTTGAAGTCATAATAAAGAATAGTGTAAAAAAATTTATTTACAAAAAGCAGCCCCTAGAGTTCCTTGCTCATTCTTCTCAGGGGAATCTGCCTTACGAATGAGCGGTAGAGTTTAATCAATGTACTAATGACTAATGTAACAATGACTATTTCAAGTATAATTGGTTTACGTAAGAAAAAAAATTTAAGTTTCAAATTGTGGTCGCCTAAACAACGCCCTAACATGGAATTTTATGAAAAGACTGTCAATGTTAACCCCTGAATGAATACACGCAGTAAAAGAACCATTATTGGTGCAATTGCATAATTTGTATTCGACTCAACACTGTTGTAATATTGAGGATGTTTACTTGCCGATACAATAGGTAATTGCACGTACTTACGTATTCGATAAAATGTTAATTGTTATTGCATATATTATAAGCATAGTACAGTGATTTCATTTAACCTGTTCTACGTAGTTTACTTTCTGATCATTATTATTTAGTGTGTGATAATATTATATACTCTTTGATATTCGGGATTGATGTACACAATCATAAATAGTTTTATTTCGATATTTGTATCCTTGATTACAAGAAATTAGTAAATAGACATATTATTATATTCTTTGTGAAAGTACTCCATTACTTTGTTGTTATAATTGGTAGAAAGATTGAACAAACTGAAAGAAAAATTCCTTCGATCCTATATAATAATAACAATAACTCATCGGTCTGTTTGAAATAATAATAATTCTAAAATAGACAATAATAATAACCCACACACTCAACACAGCCCCGCACTAGGGAAACCCTGTGTGGCAGGTGCCATGGACACACAAATAGACAACCACAAATTACACCTAAACTCACGAGAGAAATAAATGTAGGCCATACAAATATTTCTCCCGGCCCGGGAATCGAACCTGGGACCTCGGCGTGGTAGTCCGGCATTGTAACCGTTCGGCCACTGAGTCAGTATATGCATAGATAACCCGAGTTACGCAAAATGTTGGTAGTCCAGCCGGTTCCAGGGAATTTTTTTTTGCGTTTTTTTTTATCGCGGACGTGCGTATAACGCTGTTACGTCTTCTCAGTCCTACTATAATGGCAACACTCCACGTGGCTACTTGTAATGCAAACACTGACAAATATGACCATCTATACATGGAACCAAACAAGGAGTTAAAATAATAAATATGACCATAGTGTGGACGATTTACTTCCATATTTGCCTATTTGGGCCCTTTAATGTGCGCCGAGAAATCGATCAGTTGGGGTATGCTGTATTTGTCGAATAGACAATCAAGGCAAATACTTTGTCACACATGCTATGTACGCATGGTGATTGTTTGCCAAATATATGAAATACGCAAATACAAATGACCATGTGAAGTGCTACCATAAAGCGTAGAAAATTGGACTCTCACACAGAACACAACATGATAGCTGAAGGCTTTTGAAATGTGGGTTCGCCGCCGTATTTTCAGAATCTCGTGGCGTGACCGGGTTGCAAATATAGAAGTACTCAATAAAGTGAAGAAAATTGGAGTTTACGAACACCATTAAGTGCAGGAAGATGTCGTACTTCTGCTACGTCATGACGAACAATAAGTACAAATCACTCCAGCTTATCATTCAAAGCAATCTCGCTGGAAAACGAAGTGTTGGTAGGAAAATATGACGGAATGGTTCGACTACAGTACCACCTCGCTCTTTAGACGGCAGCTTCCAAAGTCAGGATTGCCATTATGTTGTCCAACCTCCGATAGGAGAGGAACCGCAGGAAGAAGAAGAAGACTTAACAGTGCGTGTTAGTTGTTTAGAACTTGATTACGTATTGTTATGAAGTGAAAATACAGAAGATTTTAATTTATATTGGATTTATTAACACAATGCTCAATTGCGCCATCAAAAGTCGATAGTACCTCACCTCGAATTCAAATGTTTCCCGGACTGAATAGGTTTTATTTCAGTATTTATTTTTAAAGCCATATGAAAAATGTATATCGCATACTATATATGTTCTAGTTAGTTCAGTTAAAATAAAAAAATCATTGGTATATGTAAAGTACCTATTGAATACTGCGGTTTTCTTGGAAAATTTCGAGGCAAGTTTGTGTTTTTATTATTGGGAAAATTTTTACGAATCGTGAACAATTGTACTACATTTTTTTCCAAAATGATTGATTCAACACTTCTCTGTTATGCAGAATCAACCAAAGCCATTGAGTTTGTATCCACTCTTAAGGTCAAAACAAAGAAGAGAGAGGGCAAGTGTTGCCCACTTCAACTTACAATAGTAATGTTGCCAACATATTGCAAATAAACAATTTCCCTTATATACTTTGTATCGCCAATTTTTTCTATGAAACTATGTTAGTTATTTATACTATTACTGTCCACTTCTATAAAACCTGCTTCAGCAAATCAATTGCTATAAGACTCGACAGACAGAAGCACATAAAGTTGCTTATTTTTTTAAATACTTATACCAAATAACGAAGCTTGTGTTCAATGTTGTTTATAATGTCGGAAATTGTAAAGAATATGATAAGGTTGTAAAAGACGCCACTCTTGGTCTCGGTCGATTTATTGATTTAAATGAATGATGTTGATTTCTGACCTGTGCGCTTCATAAAGTATAAATTTTTATTATTATTATTACCTGGATTTATAAAGTGTTAAACGTGTCACGAAACTGACGAAATAGGTGCATTTAGAGTTACTTATCCACCTTCTAAAATAGCCTCAAAGAAGCAATTAAAAAACACTTTAAACTTTGTTTTTATCAAATCGTATTTTAACAACGCTAAGTGTCAACAATATTTTTTTTCGTAACTTCCTTTATATAAGTAAACTTTCTAATGCTGGGCCCGCGTCTTCTCTCGGGCGACGGTTAAGGCCACAGTCCGCCATTCTGACCCAATATGTCATGGGGCACACGTTTTCCAAGGGCGGTGAACCTTCTTCAACGTGCAAGTTTTGTCACAATGTTTTCCACTCCGAGAAACTCAGAGGTCAAACCATTATGCTACCAAGGTTTCAAACATTCACAAGTACGTAATTTAGAAAAAAAATCATTTTTTCTCAAACATGCTCGGAAATGTTTGCATTACTTCCAAAAAACGAACACGGAAAGTTTGTAATTTATGAACCATGCAACTTCCTCCCGGCCAAGGCCTGCAAAGTAAGTATGAAAATACATTACTGTCCACTTCTCTAAACTTTTGAACCTACCTACTAATAATGAACTACGTAAAACGAGCATTTCTATGTTCGTCGCGAAAATAAGTTCTAGTGAGAAGAGCGTTAATGAAAATAAAATATTTATAGATACGCAATAAACCGCTTCATCAGAAGTTCAGTAGACTACTATTAAATGTGTCTGGAAGAACTATATCAAATATTACTTTTAATTTTAATTAACATTTTTGTGTACTTGTTTATTGTGCATCTTCTTCCCCTTAGTCTTCTATTCTTTCCTCGCATTATTTGAGAAAATCACTATATGAGCCTCGGCGGGAACGGAGATTGCTTGACTCGTATAAATACAAGGCCACGCTTGCGCTCGCACTCGTCCAGTAATCCCTAACTTCCGGCCTCTGCAATAATGTACTAATACATGCCGCCACCGGGATTCAAACCGACGCACGACTTCTTAAAGTTAAGAACCAACCATTCTACCGCCGTTCTGAACAAATGTTAAACTGTTACATAACCAGTGTCACATTACTTAACAACTTTTACGAGCGTCAGCGTTTGAGATATTGTATTATTAACCGTTTATCGGAACCGATACTACGACACGACAGTTATCTGAAGTCGTGACCCCCGAAACGGGGGCGGGACGATCACGCCATTTGTAAGTATTCATTCACTTGTGTTTCTTGCTTTAATAAACACACTCAAGGTTTCATCAAAGTCATTACCATCTGTACACACGCTATGGGCGTCTATATCTAAAACGACACAATTAAGTAAGCGTGTAAACATCTGCAGAAAAAGTACTTGGACATTTTACTAAACAGTTATAGCTATAGTGGCAGTTTAGTGGGGCTCGTGTGACTTCTTTAGGTCTAATCTACACACTGACATTTCAACTTTGGAAACTTAAGTGTTTTTGGATGAGATCTTGACTTAACTTTTGGCTTGATAATTACGCACGCGAAATGCAGTACAGTGTTGCGGGGCGCCTGAGATAGCGAAAACTCTCAGATCGCGCTAACGTCCCGAGAACGGGGGTCTACTAACATTTGTCGCGGCTCAAATTTAAACAATAAAAAACGTCATTCTATCGCGTCAAACTAAAACACAATACAGTGTATTGTAATTTCATACCAACAAAAATGTTTCGGCTGTTAACGAGGGAAAAGAAATGCATTCGTTTTTCAATAGAAATAACTTTGTAAAGTAAAATTATAATAGCTAGATAGATTTCTTTAAATATCTAATGTATAACGAACAGTTAAATTTTTAACCTCAAAAATAACAAAAAGCCGAAAAATCCTTTATGCAGTTTTTTTCTCAAAATCCTGTTTTTGATATTACAGTGTTTTAATTTCACACGGTAGCAGCATCCTTATCCTACAACACCGGAACGCAGTAATGTTCACTCTTTCACAAGGTGCTCTACTGCTACTAAAATGCCGTTGCCGTGAATACAGACATCGGATGGACGCGAAAGACATTGTCAGAAACATTTCCTGAGCGCTATAACTTTGGTTTTTTCAAGGCCTCGTCTTCACTTTAATAATGCCTATTCAGTCTCGAGTGCGGGCATTTATGTTAAAAAGCACGATAATCTTTTCACGAAAAACAGGTAAACATATTTATACGAGCAACAAAAATAAACTGTCTATTGTACAAAGTCGTCTTCACAGAGTTATTTCAATGGCAACGCATACACTTCTATAATAAGGTTCTTGTTGATATTCAGCTTCTGCGTACTAAGACGACAGAAATCCTTGGAAATGATCCATTTAGTTCAGGAAATTTTGAAATAAATATTGAAAATAATAAATGTGAACAAATATTCATTTACAAAGAGCAGCCCCTAGAGTTACTTACTCATTCTTCTCGGGGGAAATTGCCTTGCAAATGAGGAGTCGTGTTTAATCAATTTGACGATCTCAAGTGTAATTTGCTTACCTAAGAAATAACCACATTTTAAATTTAATTTTTTCATTCTGCCTAATCCAGTGGGACACAATTTAAAAAAAAAGCCACGGTAGTTTGATAAGAAATCTTTATAGTAACGACTATTTAGTGCATTTCCACGATAGTTCTAAATTTGATATTTAGGTAAATATTTTTATTGTGATTTGTAATGTTCAGTCTACGAGCACAGCCGTGGTTACGGTTATACTTGTTATATTAGAATGCGTGTAAAACTTGATTATATTATATAACAAGAATAAACATAGTAAAGTATAGAACTTAAATAAACTAATATAGAACCACTCTAAAGCTATGGGGTAAGGGGTTAACATCTGCCACTCGGCGCCTATATTGTGTAGTATAAAGAAGTCATATAGAAGATATAAATTTAAGAAATCATTCACAAAGTCTGTATATGTATATAGTTTAAAATCTTTTTTTCTGTATTAGTAATGTAACGCAGTAAATATATTTAAATATGCTCATTAGAATACACTTATTTGTATTTAATTAAATTATCAAATCATAAACTCATTTTGCCACGTCATGTTGTTTTTTTTCATCATTAATACTGGTCATGTGATATAGATTTTAAAGTGTGAATTGTATGCTTGTTGGATGTGCTTCAAAAAATAAGTAAACAAATTGAATAATAATGAAATGATTTTTTTTCTTTTTTTAAAGTAGAAAAATATTTTAATCTATATTTATAAGATCAAAAGTTGTACAAAAGGTCAGCACGTGCCATAACACCAATTTCACTAATAATCTGAACACTTACTATTGAAAACCGCCCGAACAACAACGTATCCCACAAACAGATTATTTTAAACTTGTGTGTACTGTAACGACTTTGGCGAGACTGAAACCTCAGCGGTTTATCGATAACTGAATTGAATGACTCTATAACTAAATCCGATAGCGCCACTTCGGAAATAACACTGCAGGGTACACCAACCGCGGGTCCCTGGAAATTTTGTAACTGGCTCCACAATCACGTTTATGGTGGAGGCTGTACTTTGTGAACCGTGAAGGATGTCCATCTGGTGGGTCTGTTGTGACGCTCTGTATACGATTAACGCCCTATAAGTTCGGACACTTTTTAGCGCGGACCCGACGTCCATATAATTGTAAGTCAATGAGTACAATTGAAAATATATATAACAGAAACACCAACTTACCTCGAAATTTTACAAAATAAAACCGCTGTAATATTCATTTAATTTACCAATGACTTTTTTATATCGACTGAAGTAAAAAGAACATGTATATTATACGATACACATTTTTCAAATGGCTATATCTAATTTCGTTTGTTAAAAAAATAAATTCGGAAATAAAGTCAGCGCCCCTGTCGCAAAATGAACTGTATTAGTAGTGCTGGAAAAAATGTAATTCGGGCTGAGGTAGCATAGACTCTTAAGCCGAGTATAGCAGAATTTATTAGTGCGGTAACTGAACAACTCATAATTTCCTTTACGGTAACAGTAGCAGGTAGCTACCGAGCAGAATAGTATAAATAACTAATAAGTAAGATTTATTTAGTCATATGGAAAGGTTGGGTGTTAGTAGAATAATGACACAAATTTATAGAGCGAATATGGAGGGGAAATGTGCGAAGTTTAACCTCGGCGTATATGTTTCAACCAGATCGAGGGTGCCCTTGAAAAGGCCAGATCAAAAGTAACAAGAATAAAACGGGACTGTACGAAAAGATTAATGCCAATTACGTGTATTTTCTGCCTACTCCAATCGTGATGCTATGTGTTTATTTTACCAATACAATATTTATTATGTGCACTGTTCATACTTGACAATATAATTAGAACGCAAAGCACTAAAGCTCCAAATTAAAACTGCTAATATCATAAGCAATATAACGGGAAACAAAGCAATACATAGCCAGCATGTGTGTTGCCCAAACACTGTTCGGGACTCAAATTAGTTCACGGCATACTGCTTATTATCTTAAGACAGATCTCGTGCACGTGATGAAAACATCACGTGTAACAGTTCACGCACGCACTGTGCCCAGTGGTGTCACTTTGTCCCCGCCAACATCTGCCCTCCGCGGGCGCGCCGCGCTCTAGCTTGACTGCCTATAGACATTGTTTTAGAGAAATGTTTCCTATTCTATATTCAAAAGAAAACGTAAACTGTGCTTATATTTTCATTCCACCTCGTGAATGACAGGGCCGATGGAGCGCGGGCCGACCGTTAATCAAATTTATTGCCTCGATTCATTAGCAGATCGGCAAATGGGATTTGGGAATTTGTTTAAGTTATTAAAACGACGAAATCGTGATAGAAGACCGTTTTTTCGCTTAAATTCTCTTTCCAAATTAACTAACAAATTTTCTATAGAAACAATTAGAAGATAAACGTTGAACGATAAATCGTCTGATAGTCGTGGTTTATCACCAACACAATTAATTTTTATTTGTACAAGGTCTATGAGAACGTTAAGCTGATTTAAATTACTATGCAGCTTGCGATAAAACCCAATACCATTTTTTATGCGATTTCCCAATATTATTTGTTAAAGATGGCTTGTTATTATGATCACCTCGGTGACATTAAGGTTTGCACTGTGGGCA